GCTGGCAGCTTCCGCTTCGCCATTCCGCCCCAGCGGCGGAGCCCCTCGATCGTTGTCCAGAGCCGGCGCCGATCGGAGGTCACGTCTCCGAAGCCCGCCAGGGTGTGGGCGTGCCGAATGGCGAACAGGCGCTGGCGGATGGTCGTGGCCCGCCTCTTCATCACCTCGTACAGATACACGACATATCGGATGAGGTCATCCTCGTCCGTCAGGCGGGCGCCCCGCGTCTCCCCCTGGAGGTGCGGGCCCCGGCCTCGGAGCCTCCGCCAGAGTACCCAGTTACGCCGCCCGGCGCTGTAGTTGGCGCGTGTCCCTTCGGCGAGCTTAGCCAGCATCGCCTCGGTGGCGGTCGCGCCCAGCTCGCGGGGGTCGGCAAGCTCACCCCGGACCCCTTTCGGGGCGTCTCCGCCGGCGTAACGCCAGGCCGCGGGCTTCACCAACGCCGGGGCGGGGGCGCTGCGGGCGCGCCGGCGCGTCTTGCGCGGTGGGCGCGCCCCGCCTCCCGCGCCATCCTTGGCGCTCGGTTTGGGCGTCCCCCCGTCCTCCGGGACGGCGAAGGTCACTGCCCCGACCCGCTCCCCGTCTGCCCCGTCCCCCCCTGCCGGGGTGGCCCGAGTGGTGGCAAGGGGGTCGAGCTGGTCCGCCAGCCGAGCAGCGTCGTCCGTTGCCTTTCCCGCCTCCAGCACGACCTCGAATGGCCCGCTTGGGCGGTCGGGGGCCTGAAGCCAGGCCCTCAGCCAACAGCTTCACCATCTCGTCGTTAGCGAGTCGGTCGTAGTCAGGCCCGACGCCGGCGCGCGCCCCGGGTGCCTCGTCTGCGCTTGCCACCTCTACGGCCTGCCTCAGCAGCCGCTCCGCCCACTGAATCACCCAACGCGCCGTGCGGCGCGGGAGTGCGCGGGCGGCCTGCCGCATGCGCTCAGCGATCGGCATACCTCCCAGACCCAGAGCACCCCACAGCTCCGCCGCGCCCCCCTGCGCGCACCAGATTTCCTTCGGGTGCAGGACTCGCGCGGTCCAACCAGCCTCGGACCCCTCAAGGACCATGGTGTTCGCATAGCCCTTCAACAGGTCGGGCTTCGCCCGAGCCGTGCGGCAGGGCCCGCGCGGATCATGAATCACTGCGCGCCGGGCCCGCCCACCCCCCGCCGGCTGCCACGTGCCGCGCGGCCAGGGCATCATGCGATCCCCAGTCGTCGAGATCCGGGGGTCCACGAGCAGTGTTCCCCCGCTGAGGTCCAGGCGGATTTCGTCCAGCGGCGGCCGCCCTGCCTCTCTCCAGAGCTGGCAGAGGCCGCGCGGCTCCACGCAAGGCTGCCCCAGGGGGGGGGGGGATGGGACCCGGGGCCCGGGTCCGTTCTCCACGCCCCCAAACCTGGGCCGCCCGCGCGCGCGCCGTGACATCGCCGAAGTGCGCGCACAGAAGACGCGTCTCGGGGGAGAGAGCCACATAGCCTAGCGCGCACCCAGACGCGCTGCAGCGCAATTGACGGGGGCGTCGAGCAGCACGCCCAACGGCCGGATGGCGATCAGTAGTCGCTCCAGGCCCGCTGCCTCGCGTCCGCCGGGATCCTCCGACAGTGACGCGCGCGCCCAGCGGACCTGTAGTGCCCCTGCGGGGTCCTTGGGGTGGTCGCCGCCGTCCGGGCCCCATCGGTCGCCGACATCCCAAGGTGCCAGCAGTGCCGACCCGCCAAGGCTCTCCCAGGCCTCCCCAAAGGGGGGCCACGCGGTTCCCACCTCCAGTAGCCGCGCCCCGTCGACTTGCAGGGGTGCGTAGCGTGGCAGGGCCTCTCGGGCTCCCTTGACTTGGAGCGCGGCCGCGCGCCAGGGGCCGTCGCCTCCTGGCATCCGCAGCTCGCGCTGGGCGGCCTCCTCCACCAGCTCGCCCCGTGCGCGGGGCTGCCGGTGATAACTCGGTCCATCCCGCCTCCGCCATCCGCTGGCGCACCTCCGCCACCGTAGCTCGAGTCACGAAGTCGGCCAACTCGCTGTGGTAAGTTCGCAAGTAAAGTCCGTCCACGACCCGGAACTTGCACCGTAGCTCCAGCATGGCCAGGACTCGAAGCAAGTAGCGCGCCACCGCGTTCCGTGCACGGCGGCGTCGCAGCCAACGACTGACATTACTGTTGTCCGTGACGTACGGCAGGAGAAGCTGGAACCAGTCCGGGCCTTTAAATAAGGCTATCAAGCAAAGGAGCTCGACCACCGCGATGATCTCCCCCTCTCCCGGAGATCCTGCGTCATGATTTTTTCAAGGCGCTCTGAGGCGCCTTGAAAATAAATCAAGCGCTTGGCAAAAATCACAACACGCTCTCATCGGGAGCGGATTGAAAATGGAAGCGCAAGACGCTCAACGAAACCAAGCCGCGTGCAACGCTAGCGTTGCAGCCGTTGCAGACGTTGCGGCGCCGTTGCAGCCGATTCAGAGACAGTTGAAACCTCATGCAGCCCATGCAGCGATCTAAGCTGCGTTCAGCGCCAGCGCTGCGCGTTGAACGTATAACATACATCATAACAAGGCATCGCATAGCATATCCACTAGCGTAACATATGATACCGTTTTGAGCCCGCGCTGAGGAGGAAAAGAGGAGGGTCAGGAAGGGAGAGGGGGGAAGGAGCCTCTCCCTCCCTCCCTTTCCCTCCCCTCCCTCCCCTCCCTCCCTCCCTCCCCTCTCTCCCTCGTTCCCTCCTTCTCCCTTTCCCTGTCTTTCCCCCTCCCTCCCCCTCCCTTTCCCTCTCCGTCGCTTGTTTCCAGCTGCAGTTGTCGCCGCTGCGTCTGGTCTGCGCTTGGCTGTGCGATCGGGCCAGGCCTTTGAGGGGGCGGATGAATCGGGAACGTCTGCGCCTGCCTTCCAGGAAGCACGGCAGAAGCCCCCGATCGATCTGAGAAGCACCCCGCCCCCTCGAAAGGCCTCGCCCCTTCGCCCCGCCGCCTCGCGCACGCCAGCTGGCCAGATGGCCCTCAGAGCTCATCAAATGTTTCATATTCGATCATGGCCTCATCGTCCGCCTCGTCTTCGATGGCCCGCAAGGCCGTAACGATATCAGCCTGGGATCTGTTTTCATTGTTGTTTTTCTCGCCGTTGTCCTCTTCCCCCTCCTCCGCCTGTCGTCGCCGCCGTCGACGCCGCCGCCGTCGCCGTCGCCGTCGTCGTCATCATCGTCGCCCCCCGTTTCCCTCGCTCGCATCCTCGAGCATCGGCGCACACTCATCGGCCAACTGTCGATGAAACGCCTGGATGCCGTTCACAACTGTCGGGGACACACCTAAGCATCTGCGTACTCGAACTCGGGGACAGTCGATGACGGGAAGCGCGCCAAGCCAGGCCACGGGTTGAACAGTAGATTCACCCTCTTGGGTAATTTCCCCCTCTTTCCTATCCACCTCCTCCTCCTCCTGTCCTTCACCCTCCCCCCCCTCCTATCGGGCCCAGGTCCCACAACTGCCGCTGCTGGAACCCCGTCGAGGCCCAGCCAGGCTCGAGCACGCACCACCCTCGGGAGAAATGGTAGGGCGGCCTCTTCATGAGGCTCGGGAGCGTCCATTGCGGGGCCCACGGCTTGACCCACAAGACGGCCCCCAAAGAGAATGAGGAGGAGGAGGAGGAGGATCAGGGGGGATCAGGAGCATGAGGAGGAGGACGGAGGATGCGGAGGAAGAGGAGGGAGGAGGGTGGCCGCCCACACATCCAACGTCTAATATCATGTTTGTTTGTTTTTACAAGTGTCTCTGAAAGCAGTTTTCGGGCCCAGGGACCGTCAAGTAACAATTCAAACACACAACTTCTCCTATAGAAGTTGTCGGGGTCGCAGTTCCAGGGGCCGCGCGTTGAAACAACATCAAAAAACGTCGGATGTCTAGGAGGGGCCAGACCTCCCACGTCGGCCTCTCGAGGCCGTTCCTCGGCTCGATCGGGGCCCGAAGCCGACTCCTTGGCTCGATCGGGGCCCGAAGCCGACTCGGGACTCTTTCCCCTCCCATTCCTTCCCCTTCCTCCCTCGATCGTCTCGGCGCTTGTTTCAGCGCAGCCGCAACGCCGACCTCCCTCCGCCGCACCGCGGCGCGCTCGGTCACCGGTGCCTCCCCTTCCCATTTCTGGTGCGTCCGCGTGCACCCAGACATCCGCCCATATGTTTGCTCCTCAATTCGCGGCTCTATATGGGCCCCTTCCCTAGGTGTATTTTGGGCGCTCCGCATCCATGGCCCCAGGGCCCGAAAGCGGCCCCCGAGGGTCTACATCGAGGACATGCCGCCGATTGGGAAAAAACAAAAAACCATATCGTCGGAGGTCCTGGGTACAACTCTTTATATATATACGTGCATATATAGATGCACATGTAAACACATAGATTGCACGGGATGATTCATACACATCTACATGTGTCCGTGCTGGTGTGGGCACTAATTATATGCGCGTGTGTGTATGTACACATGTGTATGTACAATATACGCACATATATATATATATATATACACACTCTCTCTCCCCCGCATGCACGCGCCCTCCCCAGCTGCAGCCAGCAACGTCCAGCGTCGGCCGCGCGGGCGGTGGTCACCGCAGCACGTCGACGTCCCAGGGGACAGGAGGAATGACTCGAGGAGGAGGAGACGGAGGTGATAGGAGGTTTTCGAGGGACATGTGCGGACACGGGAGTGGAGGTGAGGCTGGAGGAGGGGGAGGAGGAGGAGAAAGCTAGGAGGAGGAGGAGGAGGAGGAGGAGGAGGACGAGGTGGTAGGAGGTTTTGAACCAGGGACACTAGGAGGCACTAGGAGGTTTGGGAGGAGGCACTAGGAGGTTTGAGGGAGGGGCATACGCAAAACGAACAGCTAGCACCTCTCGGGAAGGACCTTCCCGAGAAATGTGCTGTAAAAAGTGCTACCCCCGTGGAGGGCGGACGCTACGCGGGACATAAGCCGATTTTCGGCTTCGTCCGCGTAGCACCAAAAAAAACGGGGGTTTCCATGTTTTAAAACATTGGCCACAAGGTGGACGGCCACGTGGTGTTTGAAGACCGCGTGGCCGCCCCAGGACTGCCAAAATTGCAGGTATCGCAACATGGCCTTCTGCAGGGACCGCCTGCCAGCGTCAGACATGACGCGGGGCTCACTATTCATTATCTCGTGAGCCTTATTCAGCTCCTTGATCGCAAACTGTAGATAGCGATCCTTAGGACCTAGCAAACCCGCGTTCTCTTCGAGAAGGGTCTCCGCCAGAGGCAGTAAGTGCCTCGTTTCAGCCGCCTTGGCCTTCAAGCGGCCTTTTGAAAACATTTCGAGCTTAATCTTATTAACTCGGCTGCGAAACCCCTGCTTCAGCCTGGTCCCTACTCTGGTGTTCGGGCTCGCGCGGTAGAAGGCTTTCATCCGCCTTTGCGCGGGCGGAAATCAAACAAATCATGAGAGGCGATGGGGGGCGCGTCGCCCGATCAAGGCGAGCATTCCTGGGGGGAGCGGAGATCTTTCATATCAGAACGCAGGGCCTTCTGAGGAAGTCCACGTTGTCCTCCCTGCGGCCCTTGGCCTTGAAGCGCCTCGAGCGGGCGAAATTCTTCCTGACCAGCAAAAGGAAGATGGAACCGATGATCCACTGGCTGCAGCCTAAATCCAGCACGCGCATCGCGTCGAAATGGGTCATCTCGAATCGGAAGCCAGGGATGAACAGCAACGGGCAAATCAGGTTCAAGCCCATGTTGATGCCCGTGTTGAAAAACGTGAGCAGGGCCGGAACAGCAACGTCTCTCAAAGCGTGCACATCATGCAACGGGCCGTCTTCGATGAGTCGAAATCCTTTGGACAGCTGGAGTTCTGGGAAATCAGAATGCAATCCATATCCGCCCAGGTCTCCGTCGAAATGCATGTGTCTCATGAGTCGCCGCAATTGGGGTTGAGAAGTAACTCTGCGCTTCACGATGGATCGTTGAACCATGACATTATAAGCTGCATGGTCTTTTGGCACCCATTCCATGGCATCTATAGTTGTTGGAAAGTTGAAGAGGTTCTGCCGATCACAGCCGCAAGCCATGCATGGAAATATATGATTGGTCCATTGTTTTAAGCCGATCCTTTCCACGATCTCTAGCAGATCGGCCCTTAGCTCAGTAAGGGCGCACGCCCACCCGTCGGCAAAAGGAAATCCATGCTGTGCTGCTCTCAACTCGTCACTGAACGGCTTGTTCTCATGATCAAAGGAAGGGTACACTCCTGATGCCAAGACCACGAATGCCCAAGCAATAACTCTGAGGATGGTCCCAAGGGTGCAAAACCCTTTGCACCCACATCGGCATAAGTCGCTTTTGCGAACAGTACAGATTAAATAACGAACGTTCGTCAGAGAATTGCTCCAGTACATCGCGATGCAGCTGTCTTTTTTCACGTGCGGAAAAGCATCGCTGTAGAACCCTACGGGGCACGCGCGTCCAGGACGTTCCAAATTGACTTGGTGGTTCTCGAACGTCGGCGGGAGATCCTCAGGCTTAAACTTTGAAGGGTCCCAAGCGTTCGGGTCTTCCTTGAACGCCTCAGCGAACTGGTCGTAGGGTAAGTTCATGGGGAACGCCACGTGGGCGCGCTGTTCGGTGGTCTTGTCCCAAATGGGGATCATCGGCTGGAAGAAAGATTCTGTTGACCGAGCTTGCACAGCATCGCGAAGATGTTGCGCATGGTGCGTGGAAGAAGGCTTGCGCGCTAAGGTCTCAAGGCCGCTGCCTCGAGCGCCTGCCCGAACAGAGTGCCAGCAAATCGTATTCACAGCCGCGGCTGAGAGTAACCCTTGTTTGTACTGCTGCAAGAGGTATTTTCGCAAGCCTTCTCCGTGGTCTGTGTCCTCTTGAATCGGCTCTTCGATTGCCAAGGTCTCGGCGGCAGCCCGACTGGACATCAACAGACGGTGAAACTGAAAGAAAAGTGAAACTGGTGAAAATGAAACTGCGCACGAAAACAAATGCGAAAACACATTTAGGGCCTCAATGGTTACGGGCGCGCCTGACCTGCCCTGCGCCGCCCGCTGGCACGGCAGCACCGTCCTCCCTTAGAGGAGGTCCTGCTCATGTAAGTCGAGGTCCTCTCAAAAATCATCCTCGCCAATTCGACCTGCACAGGTCGACCTCCAGAGGTTTTCCACGGGGCTCCAGGGTCCAGAAACGGCTCCAGGGGCCACAGCAAATGAAACATGAAAATGCTATTTTTAAGCCCTCGTCACTGCACCCTTGCACTCAATCCCCACAAGCAAACCCTGCACAGACATCCCTGCAAGACATCGATCAATGCAAAGACACGCTGAGTGCAACATGCACTATGATCTAGACCCAGAAATCTGACGATGTGATCTTTTCAACCCGCGGCCCCAGAATCCTGGAGGGGCGGTTCTTCGCCCTGGGCCCGTTTTTGATGGCCCCAGGGCCCCAATGCGGCCACCAGGCCCACATGCTCGAAAAACTGCCAGGACTAAAAAACGATATCGTCGGAGATCTGGGCCTCCACGAATGCCTCCATGCTGCACTTTGTCCTAACCGTTTTCGCACGCGCGGATCCTCGAGAGCCCGTCCGAAGCGTCAAGAGTTAGCAAAGCAATATCTGTGCCCACATCACAAGGCAGTGGCGCTAGCGAGCCCCATCTTCATATTCCTTCCGTTGTGTTTCCACTCCTCCTCATAATCCCTCATCCTCCTGATCCTCCATCTTTCTCATCCTCCTCATCCTCATCCTCCGTTTCCAAACGGACCGTGGTCCTGCCCTCATCTTCCTCATCCTCCTGATAATCCTGCCTTCCGATCCTCACAAACAAGCCCTGCAAAGATATCAATCCGTGCAAGACAGCCCACAACCCCTGCAAGACAACCGACAATCTCTGCACCTGCACCAACAAACCCTGCACTCACAGCAGCGTGAGTGGCACTCACGATTTCTTTTGCTTCTTCGAGTTCGGCGTCTTGAGGGCCGCCTGCGCGTTGTCGTAGCTGTCCATTACCGGTTTGATGGCCTCCAGCAAAGCTTTGGCCTCGAAGCGTTTTCCCCATTAACAACGCAATTCAATGACACAGATCATGAAATCGGAGGGCGACGAGGTACCAGGGCGGAGGAGAATGAGGAGGGAGGAGGGCGGGCTGGGCTTCAGGGAGGAGCTGGAGTTGAGGTTTCGCAACATGTTCTAAGCTGTTTAGAACATGTTGAGGAGGAAGGCGAGGGGAGGAGGCGGAGGAGGAGGAAGGCGAGGGAGGGGGCCCGGACGTCCAGACCATCAGCCCGTCGGTCCGCCTCCCTCCTCCACTCGTCCTCCTACTCGCCCTGGCCATCCGGTCGGCTCGGGTATGGTATCGGACGATGCACACATACGTCCATAAGGATACACATGCTCCTATCCGCGCGCGCGCAAATATACCTCCGACATACGCACAAAAATACTATGCCGGCTTCCGTGAGGTCGAGACTAATACTTGCCGTTAGGCAATGGCGGGCAAAGGTGAGTACTGGGGGGCGTCAGTAGGCAATCAGCATGTCTGCCAATGGGCGATGTCGCGTGGAAGTTGAACCGAGAAACATAAATAATGTGTATGTATGGAAGTGTGTATATAGTGGTGTACAGTGTGTGATATATAGGTGTAATACAGATAGGGCGTACGGCTACTACAACTGTGATTAATAATCCTAGCGATATTCCTAATAGTAGTAGTGATGTGTCGTCATCATGCTGCCCATGTACACTTGGTGGTCGAGTAATGCAACGTCTCGAAGGGTGAGGACAATTACAAGTATACACAATAACATGGATCTGAAAGATGGTAAATGTACGGCAGGTCTCCTGGATGGTCTTGAAGTTCTCGTCGATCTGGCCTTTGAAGCTGGTCAGGATGCCGCCAGAGGTCTTCGCTTTCGCCTCCCCAACGCTCCCAAGAAGGGACGAGCACGGCCTGGATGAGCAGGAGGAGAAGGAATGCATGAACAAAGTAATGATGAAGAGTTGGGCACACATGCAGGGCGATCGGGGCAACAACAAGGGCCCCAGCACGCCTCGATCCCGCGGCTCCCCCCGCCCACCACGTAACCACCAAGGATCGCTTTCGTGTGCGAAGCCTCGCCCAAGATCGTCGCCATCTCCACTGACTCCTTCGATGCCTTGGAAGGTGCCGCGCCCGAGGGGCATGGGCCGCCAGACTGCTGCGCCTCTGGCTCCTGGGAGGGGGGTGGGTGGGTGCCCAGGTGCGGATGGTGAAGCTGAGGGTGGCAAGGGTGAGGCTGGTATAAGGACGATGATCCGAGGCTGAGTGTCCAGGTACGTTACGAATTGCTGTGAGGCCCTGATGCTTTGGAGGTGTGGAACAAGGATCCTCGTCCGAGCTGTAGCTGTAGGAGCTCGAATCGTCACTGTCCGAAGGCTTTGCCTCCCCCCTCACGTTGCATGCTTGTGCAGATGCATACAGACACTCATGTATATATTGATCTCTAGGGTAAGCTAGACCTCGGAATGGGGGTGAGGCCCCAAATCGGTATTAACATGTTTTTGAAGTTGATTCTGATCCTCGGAATGGGGGTGAGGCCCCATATCGGTACCAATCGTTGCAACATTTTTTTGAAGTTGCTTCTGATCCTCGGAATGGGGGTGAGGCCCCAAATCGATACCAACTGATCCTCGGAATGGGGCATGTGGTAAGTCACGTGTACATATGCATTCACATATGTGCGTGCATACTTATGTGTATATATATGTATATGTGCATATGTGTAGCGTTATATGTATGTATCTGAACACACGATATACATACGCACACGCGTGTACAACTCGAACCAATCAACAACACGAATCGCATGACCACTACATGCAGTCGGCAACGCAGCAAATATCACGTGAAATCAAACGTTTGCACTGAACTCCCACCGTGGTGAATCTCTCTAGGATGCTTCCCCAGCCCCACTTTTACACCCGATGTGCCGCCCATCTGCTGTGTGACAGCCGCCGCAGACATCTCGCGCCCCTCCGCCCTCGTCTGGCGCATCTGGCCGTGAACCTGAGCCAGCTGAGGATATGGAAACGGCCTGAAAGATATGGGGACGAATCGCCACAGCAGGAGGAGGCGACCGAAGAGCAGGCCACAACGCCGTGCCGTACAGACAATGCACATTACAACTCTGACGCTCAAGGAAAGAACAAAACCAAACAATGATAGGAGGGAACTTGCTCGTTGATCTCACTCATGTCGATCTTCTTGTACAGCGCGATGCCGTGCTGCGGATGCACCTCCACTACCACGTGTCATCCTCATCCTCCTGATCCTCATCCTCCTCATCCTCCTCATCCTGAGTGAGTGTGGGACCCCTGAGACCGAAAGTGAGATCGAAAGTGAGATCGATCGAGTGTGGTTTGAGTCAGATCCTCATCCTCCTCGTCCTCCTCATCCTGAGTGAGTGTGGGACCCCTGAGACCGAAAGTGAGACCGAAAGTGAGATCGATCGAAGTGAGATCGATCGAAAGTGAGATCGAAAGTGAGATCGATCGTCATCCTCCTCATTTTCCTCATCCTCCTCACCTTCATCCTGATCCCGTCTGGTCATCCTCATATTCCTCATCCTCCTCGTCCTCGTCCTCCTTCAAACACGGATGCCATTGCGTATACATGTGCAACGGCCCCGCCTTCGTGTGCCCAGGGACGCTCGTGCAATACTTGATGATCGCTTTCTGCGTGGCCACCTGCCTGCGGGTTGGGGGGGCGATGTCATCCTTTCCCATCCCCTCCGATCCTTTCCCATCCCCTCCCATCCCCTCCCATCTTATCCCATCCCATCCCCTCCCATCT